CCCCAAAACCCCCAAAACCCCAAAACCCCAAGAGTGTAGATATTGAAATTTCAAGAATAAAAATCATCAATGAGTTTCAAATTTTAGAACAATTTAATTTATCATTAATTCATTAATAGGTTCATTATAATTCCCTCTAAAATTCAGGCTTTTCTAATTTCTTTTATAGTCATTCATTTGGTTGTGCTGTTATTGCATTCAGACTCCTTATGACTTAAAGTCTCTCTCAATCTAAGAGTAAGATTCTTGAGTTCATCAAAGACTCCACTTCTTTTACTCTCTGAGAATAAGTTCATTTGGGCAGGGTTGCATTTATTTGGATGGACCTTTCTCTCGCTTTCCACTTCTTTATTCCCATTCTATTTCAACACTAATTAGTCCAAAGCATAGCAATCCTCTGTTTGCTAGTTTTCCTTCTAATAAAATGGCCTTGTTTATTTCTTAGTCCTTGACTGGTACTATTGCTGTTACTGCTACTTCTTCATATGATTCTTTTAATTCATAATAATCGTATAAGACTTGTTATTTGAATTCTACTTTGTCTTTTAACTTGAATAATTGATGTTTTACTAGCAACTAAAGAACTAAGTCTCCTCTATCTCAGAATCATTATTTCTATGACTAAAAGTGTCTTCGTGGAATTAACCCACATGATTCCCAGCATTATTACTTATGTAATCACTATCAGCTAGGAGTAAGGTAGGCTTTTTCTAAGATTCAATATTGAAGGCTCTCACATATTCCTAGAATGGACTTGACTCAGATTCTTACATCAACTTTGATTGATTCTAATCCTATCTCTTATCATTTTCTTTGTAGGGTGACCTAAGATCATCAACGCTAAGCTCCTTGTCTTAATAATCTCCAAAATATGAAGCTTAGGTCTAAATTATTTCATTTAATGCAGGGGTCTTTCCATCACTTATAAAGCCTCTGCTCTCTGGACGAAGGATTTTATGAGATAATTTCTGGATTAATTTCTCGAATTCATGCTTTTCTTTCTCAAGGTCAACTAAGGCTACTTCAAGTTTTGTGGACTTAGTTTCTGTATTTTTATCAGTTTAAGTCTTTTCTGAACTTTTATAAGCTCTGGCGTGTTACTAATGATTTTATAGGGTTTAAGGTTTAGATTTTGGCTGTATTGGCTGTTAAATTTATTTTACTCTTGTCTCTTGCTTTCTATTCTTCGCACTTTTACTTCTTGATTTTTGAAGTCTCCTTTCTGATAGGACTGGACTGTAATCCTTAGGTTATTTCTTAGTTTAGATATCTTTGAAAACTTAGGCTTGATAATAGAGCGAGCCATCTCCATCTGGCTTAGTTTACTTTAGATACTATATTTTCTTTTTATGAATGGCCTCAGACATGTTGCATATCTAAGGCTTGAAAGTGTTTTCCTTTTCCTCCTTCAATTACTTTTCTTTGATTATCAGTTATTTGTGAGTTTCAACCTTAGATCTCCAATTAAGATTTCTCTAATAGAATTCTACCATATTGAACCTGGTCTTACTGTTATCATTCTAGCCTCTTCCTGTAATACTCCTATTTTCCTCCTTAATCTGATGCATCATATTTGAAAACCCAGCAACTCCTTTCTATTCGAATGACTTTAGTCTATCTTTCTTGCAAGATAAACTTCTTCTCTCTCTATTATTGTCGCTTATGCTTCTAGGTGCATCATTTGAATAGTCTCGTTAGACTTTAGCTAGTGGACTTAAGTTTGGCTTAAATGGACACTCTCTCTTGAATTCCCTATGAAGATCTTTTTTAAATTATTGCTACTTCAGTTTAACTCTATGCTCCCATGATATCAATCTATCCTCAACTCTTTCCACTGATTACTTACCAACCAAAGATTGCTTAAACACATTTGGACTCATGCTTGAGTGATAATTTTACCTCATTACTTATGAGTGCTACTGCTTCATTTGATGTCCGTAATTTTTCTATGCAAGAGTATAGTTATTAGCATTATAAGATTCGTTCTTAATCTTTTTAATCTTTGGCTTGAAAGTGCATTCAGTCATTTCACTAGTCTCATTTTACTCTTTGACTTACTCTTTCCTTTATTCTACTTTCACATTTTTGTTGTCAAGCCAGTTTATTTACCTCCTTAAAAAGTTTTCAAGAGATTTTTCACCTTTGCTTTTGTGTTGCTTGGATAATCTAGCTTGACTTCTCCTCTAAGGCAATGGCTGGAAGCCTAACATTCTGACTTCTTGTTGATCTTATTAATTTCTTTCATATCCATTATTGGAATGATCCAAATCTTCAATCTTCATTTACTATTAATGGTAATTCTGCTCTTAATTATCATAAGAAGAAGTTAAATTGTTTAAGTTCAACATCAAGGAATTGTTTACTTAGTTTTTATGGCATGCACTGACGAAATTATAATTAGGCTGCTCATTATTGTCTCTCTCAAACTCTCTATCAAATGAAGACTAAGTTACAATGACTTGCTTGCCAACTTTTTATATCAATTTGTCATAGTTCTCAGATGCCTATTAGATTTACCTTTACGAGTGTAACTCTTCAAGCAATTCCATTTTCTTCTTCATCGCTCCAATTTGCTATTCATTACTTAGGTAATCAACAGGAGGTGGAATTCCGATTGGGCTTCTTTGGCTTTGGGTTACTCTACTCTAGGCTGTTTATTATGTTTGCTAGGTAAGCACACTTAATTTAGAGTAGCACTGTTAGTTGGTATTTCAAGGAGAAATTTCAAAGTTATTTGAATTTTGATTGCTTAATTGAATGGGATAAGGCTGGGGATATGGAGATGTTGGCTAGGGTACTTCCATAATAGAGTCTTAGTGATTCGATGAATTCGTCGCTACTATTTTCAAGGCTTGTTTGTTAGAGACATTAGTACTGCAAGCTGATTCATGCTTTTTATTGGTATTAGTTGCAGTTTTAGTCTGAACTATAGATTAGAGATGCTTGTCCAGTTACTATAACTCACTGAGTATTCTTTGCTCTTCATTTGAAAATGACTGAGTAGAAGTTTCATGTCTATTCTCAATGATTTTGATGTCTTCATTCTTAATCTATGCTCTCTGAGTTGCAGTCACGTTGGTAGATGTCTTTGACTCCTATGGGATCTTTATTAGTTCAATTATTAAAGACTTCTCATCAGTTTCATCTCCACCTTAGCATATATCATTACTGTACATGCTTATCTCCTTTAACTGCTTAAATGATAGCTCTTGAGTGTTATTGATTGATTGAGGTTCATTAGTAAAGCTCTGCTTTTACTAAGCAAAGTGCTAGAAATCCTGCTCATTATACAGCAGATACTAGTCAGCTGCTACAATTGAAGTGTGGGTGTTACTCCCTGTAAATTGTTCTTGAGGGTAGTTATGATCTATACCTTGCAAGTTGGCAATGATTAGAGATGCTTGGAAGTTCATATCAGTACCGTGTTGCGAGTGGATATCATTGTTGGATTGCTATATTGGCAAGTGAGAAAGATTCAAATTGCTTGGGATCATTAAGGTGAATCCTGATTTAGACATATCATCATTTAGATCTAACTTTGGACTAGACCTTTACTATGGTGTTTGATTTATCGTCAATGACTAATGACTAAGATTACTAACCTGATTATCCTGCTTCTGTAGAGGCAAGTATTGATAGTAGCAGTCGTCACCCTTCACATTCTGCTGAAATGTCATGTCTTCCAGCAACAAGAGTTACTCTGAAACTTTCTAAGATTATTCAGATGATGCATATTAATTTGGCTTGGAATTTCTCTGCTGATATTGCTAATTATACTCCACTCTCTCAGACAAACTGCGGAACTAGTCATATGGACTTAACTTCAAGTCAAGCTCCTTAATGTCCATTCCCCCCATACAACTTACTGACTCATCATCTTCTTGTTATGTCTTCACATACTACATGTTACTCTGTTTCCTATAGTAAGAAATGGGGTTTTACTCAAGATAAAGAGCATATTCAGCTTGGTTATTGGCAACTTATTGAGTGTTCTATGATTGCTTATCAATATTGTTTTCATTCTATAGTGGACATTCCCCACTTGCTTAAACATGTCTCAGGGTATCAATGTTAGGTGAGTAGATTTATTATTGATGCATTAGAGAGAAAACTTGAGGATTATGAAACGACAATTCTTTATATTCAATTGTTGTTTTGCCAGTGCCACTATGACTAGTGTTGAGAGACATAGGCTACTGCATACTGGTGTTATGCTAAGAGGATCTTTATATTGATTCCTCATGCAAGTGATTTTTCCCATTGCTATTTGTGTTCACATTAGGACTGAATATATTGTGACACTCAAATTTGCTTTAATTGTTTTACACAAGGTTTATTGTGGAATGTCTAGGCTGATTGTAATCTATTTATTTCTATTCAGTTTCGTTTTGATGGATTGATTGCTCTGTAAACTTATTGTTGGCTTGTTTTATCGAATACTAGCTATTCTTACTAGCATAGCTTTGGATTCCATATAAAGATGAGTTTGACACTAGACTACCTTAAGAACTGATCGATTCACAGTGTTTGTTGCTAATTTATCTCTAGGAGTTGATATTGATCTATTCTAGTTCATACTTCAAATCTTTATTGTTATTATGATGCACATTAGTAGTATTTACTAATGGTTCTCTAAAGTTATGTGGATTGTTTTGCTTTGATTGTAGACTATTTTACAACCTATTCATGTTATCAGAAGCTACACCAATCTTTACAAAGATATTGGATGTATTTAAGGAATCACAAGTGTTGGCATTTCTATTATAGTTTTCAGTGATGACTAGAGCATTGAGTGAACCTTGAAAGGGTGTTAAGTTATCCCTGCTGTGATTCATTGAGTTTGATATCTTACAGTCACTCGAGTTCAGTGACTAAGACTCCTCCTCGCTCATTCTTTCGAGCTACCTGCCTCTTCGATTTTCACTAAGCACTATTTACCTGTTTGGTTTCCCTAAGGTTGATGATGTTTGGTTTTTAAGATCAGTTGTCTAACTGATATCCATTTGGCATAGCTAGAAATCCTTTTCGAGATTCTTAGCCGTTGTATTGAGATTCAGATTCAGATCAGCGATCTTAAGAGTATTGGTAGTCTAGTTTAAGTTGTTATCTGAGCTGAGGCCATATTAGCTATTTTCGAGGTACGGATTATTGTAGTTGTTGTTGTTACGAGGGTTATTAATTTCGTTGATAAAACTGCTATGCAGAATATTGTTGTTGATGTTGCTGCTACTAATGATGTTGTAATTTGAGGAATTAGTGTCAACTTGCTGACTGCTGCTCACTGACTATTTCGACTATTTCCGATTCTTGATCAGCACTGCACATTGCTGTTTAAGCAGGGATAAAGTGCCACCGTTGCCATTAGCTGCACTACCTCCATTGTTTGAGTAGTTGTCACTCTCTGAAATTGAGGAGGTGTTAAGGGCCAGATTTTGATAGCAAGAGACCCGGGAAGAAGCTAGTTCACTAGAGGTGTTTATATATCCGTTATAATTTGATTAATTCATTTTTAATATAAATATTTTGCCTCTATTCGATTTTATGCATTCTTCGATTTAGTTTATTATTTTCATAATTCATTCATTCGTTTCATTGTGGGGTTTTGGGGTTTTGGGG